AACCGCTAACACTGGTGTGCTGCTAGAAGTTTAGGCATATTGTAAATGCATCATCTGCTGCAAGAAGGGTATTTTGACATCGGGCTACCTGAAAACCTGACTCTGAATAAAAGTTTAAACCAGTCTTCTTCCATAATTCATTTTACATTTAAAAGCAGTCCGCAGTCAGATCTGTTCCTTTCAGCAAGGCAAAAGTTACAGCAGTGTCATAGTGATGACTCTTCAGTCTTCACCTTTTTTGTTTGTCCGTTTGAACCACGCTGCAGACCCTGCCTTTTCTTTTTCTGCTGCTGTGACCTTTCCTCTTTCCTCTGTAGGTAGGCCGCCATGTTATCAAATGAAGCCTTGTAGAGACTGCTGTAGCGGCTCTCTGCGCCAACAAAACCTGCAGTTGGGCAAAGCAAGAACACAAGGGTTAACTCCCTTAGCGGCCTCACCAGTTACTTCCTGTACTGTAATTCTAGACAGTGGCATTTCAACTCAACTACTGTGGTCCTTTGCACTTTATTAAATATCAGCATTTACCCTGTGGAAGCCTGATTCGTGTTGGTAAGCACCTGTCCGGCATTCACACAGCCAAGCGCAGCCTCCATTTTTAGGCTAAAAAATTCACGCAGAGGCAATCGCCTGACACCCAAGCGAAGAGGGCACACAGCGCTCTCTTCACACGTTGGGCAGAACGTCAAGGCTCCTGTTTTAAAATGACTGCTGCCACCGCTCATTGTTAGACATCTCGCCGGAGTGGTTCCCCAAGATGCAAGCACTGCAAAGGGCGTATGCTACCCAAGCGCGCTTCGCTGACTTGTCTCCTAGAGTATTAACTTAAAAGAAGCTCAAAGAAGTAGACTTCAAGCAGTGGTGTCCTGCAGCACATAGAAATTTCTAATAGTAAACCCTCTTATTCTCATACCCTTCCTGTGAATTCAACATCCTATTTATCACGCCATCTCCAAGACTAAGTTTAGACAAGTTTAACCGGGAACTAACTGCTACCCGAAAAACCCCAATCAGATTGTTTCTGCAGAGAATACAGAACAAGACTAGTCAGCTAGCTCCACATTTCTAAAAACTGTTAGAGTGGTACCCGACAAAACCAGTTACCTCTTGTTCTCTTTGTACTCCTACCTCTTCCCACTTCCAAAAATTCTTGATCTTAAAGCGCCAACACAAGGAAATGCAGTATTTGCTAGGGTTTGGTCCTGAAGCTGGCGTGCTGCTGCTCCACAGTAACGTACATACAGCATCCCCTTGCTTCTCGGTACGCAAACAAAACAACTTGCCCTCACTGGTACTCAGGAAAGCGCATGCCTTTACTTTCGAGGGTCTTGCACTCCCACAGCAACCAATTCACTGGCCTGCGGCCCTGAGAGAAACTGCCTGCTGTCAGTTTGAATATCCATGCCACCCTACTTGGATAGGGTCTGCGCTAGATCTTGCTCTACCTTTTTCTGAGATCAGTTATAACAGTATGTCAAACTGTTCAACGTGTAATTCAAGATTGACCTACACATCTTAAATCCTACACAACCATTAATCAAAGTGAAACAAGTTTATAAAAGGACGATATGCAGGCATTAAGACTGGATTTAAACAATATAATGATCACCTTTAAGAGAAGTAACTACATTTTCAAGCACTAATTATGCACTGGAATAAGTGCTCATCAAGTGAGCCTCCCGTTACTAATTAACAATAATAGACTCTGTCATCTAAGCCGTCCTCCTTTCCCAGCTGCAGATGCAGCCAGCTACCGTGTACCACAGTAATTTGCTACGCTGGCTAATTACGCGCAGAACCTCTTCCCCTGTCTGCTCTTTTTACCTCTCTGCTGCTCATTTTCACTCAGACCTCATACTTCTAATTACCTGCCTGGCTGTAACTATTAAGTCTACAACACCTCCATGCAAACACTCTCCCTTCTAAAGGAGTACCTGACTTCCTGTTAGATTTCAAAGACTGCATCAATGTACTTAATGAAAACTTAATGACAGCTACACTCTAAACCATCCAATATTAGGTATTAATTCACATTAGACTGCACATTCCCGCAACTCTACCATCTAACGTGGGTTCATTACCTTTACATATGACCACCATGAACGGACCGAGAGACCGGTGGGGACTGTAACACCTCTTGTAAGAAAGAAGGTTCCCGGTCTCCCAGCAAAGAACAGGACAGAGAATTCAATTAAGCAACTCTCAATACATCATGAGACATCCACTAGCACACGCCACAACCCTTCTCTACCCTGCAACCACCGTTGCCATCATTTCAGCTTTTAAATAAAATCCTGGAAACACAGGGTGCTTCTGACCTAGCAAACCATGTATTATTTTTCTGCCAGAGACTGGAGGTGGGGCAGAAATCAAGAACAAAATGAACCAACCCTGATACCAACCAATTTCATCCCTGATGGTACCATCCAAGGTCTCACCCTCCAGCCACAGCAAGCTCCACATAATCTGCCTTGCCAAGGTGGACCCAACGGCCCATCTTCACAGCAAAGCTGCCCCTCCCCCCCTGGCTATTCCATTCTTACTATCTCCACTGTACTGCCGATAAAGCGTCATGCCCAGGTAAGAGACAAGATGACAAAAGCCAGTGTTTGATATCACAGCAGTAAGACAGACCCCTGCAGCTCTGTCATAGGGTGTTTAGATATATCCCTGTGATAACGTAAAACAGTTATAATGCTGTAATTCTGATCTAAACACCTACATCATTTTGCACTTCATCATCTACGCTAACTTCCATACCACATGGAGTGATGAAACTGAGAAAACTGGAAGACTGACTCCAACAGCCAGCTGAACTGAACTCTGATTTTGCTTTTAAATCTTATGCTTTAGCTGTAAAAATTGTGTTTCCTTGGCCTTTAGGCCAAATTTCTTACCTTCAAATGCTGTCCAATTGTCTTGAATATGTTTTGACACCTTCTGTAATCCTTTGTCATCAGTTACAGGCTAGGAAAAGAAGAAACACTGCATGGTATTTCAGGAATAATAAACAATTCCATGTTTCAACAGCACACTGAAGAATGCCACAGTTTTCAGATGAGTACAGTGAAAGAAGAGCAAGTGTAAGCTCTCCATCATGTCTTTTAGGCTATAGACTGCTATAGAAACACAGCCAGAGATCACATGTTCTGCTGGGGAAGCTTTGCAGCTTGAAGGAAAAGAAAACAAGATTTCCACTTACTAATACGTAAGGCAAAGGAATAGGAACAAGGAACACGGAAGGGTCAAAGAAGTTTCATTTACACCCACTGCACAACTACAGCATAATTAGCTGGGGACTTACACGGATAACAAGCAAGTTTCCAGTTGTTTAATAACCTATTACAGAGAACTTGACAGCACATCTCTCAAAGTTGACTCCCTGTTCTCAATGGAAAAAAAAAACAAACCCTTAACGCTTCCACAATGCCCTGTCCCCTAAAGGATCCCTCAGAGGCAGGCACAGGGAAGGCTGTGTGTAAAGCATTCCGAAGCGAACCACAGAGGGATTTTGTTGTTTTGTAGTTTTTTTAAACAATCAAGCATAGCACACAGAGAGCACATGGTTTAAAGTACCGAGTGCAGCGGCTGACAACCACTCTGCTTCATCCTGCTGCACCAAATGTCAGCTTTACCAGAGAGCTTTACAAGCTCCCAGCAGCTTTGCGTTATACACAGGTGAGAGAAGTAGAATGAGGTGTCTATCTATGACTTTTGTTCAGTCTCAAGACATAGAGAAGCTTGCCATTTAGCTTTCATGGAACATAAGTTTACTCCATTTTTGTTACAGCCTCTAGACAACACAAAACATTCAGGATATTGGCATTAACCAGAGTATCTACCTTCCACTGTCCATCACACGGTCTGTACAATTGAAGAGGAGCTTCACGGTCTTCCTCCAAAATCCATAGGTCTCCCGTTTCCTCAAATGCAATGTCCCAAACTTTATGTTGCAAAGAGATTTGCTGCCTATAATCTAGCTGCTGGGCAACGGCATCAAGCTGAAACACGTAGACTGTGGGAATACTTTTGAGAGGAAAAACTTAATTACCATTATTACCAAATCCACCTACAGCCATCACTTGTACAGCAAACTACAAACACCCACTCTAATTCGAAACAGAGCCAAAGCAAAGTCATTAGGAATTGCAAAAAATACCCTAGCACTTCAAGTGCAGTTTGCTTACATGATCTGAGGCAGAAGCTGTAAATACCTAACACGTCAAATGGCTTTTCAAGTCTTACATGAAAGAAAACGCAGCCAATGCTGCCTTTTCTTTAAAAGAAAAGGTAGTAAAGGGAATTTCAAAGGGATTACTAAGGATTTATATAAGGAGTGTTGCATCATAGCACACTGGCCTACAGGGCTTCACTTGAAGGAACTGAGCACCAGCCAAAATAAAACAGGAAAGGTATTACATGCTGGGGAGGGGAGGAGGGAATGAGGGGGAAAGGAAACCTTGACATGGCTGAAGAACAGGGCTCTGGCACCGCACTCACCTCCACCTCTCCCATCAGCACTCACTCCTCTAACAGCCACAGCCCTTACGTGCAGAGCTCCCTGACCTCCCCTGGACAGGTCTCCAGCGTGCCAGGCAGGACACCTCGGCTCCTTCCCGAGTCGCCTACAGGTCCGCACGGCAGCACCGCTCAGAACCGCCGGGCTGGGGAGCTCCAAACAAAAGCCTGACGCGGGGCACGGCGTGGCACCTGGGCTAAGTGACACGGGCACAGCGCTCAGCTGGCGTGGCTTCCCCTTCCAGGGCCAGTGTGGATGCCCATGCACAAGGCCTGACGGGAAGCAGGCACAGCTCCTCGCTCTGGCGCAGAGCAAGTGCACTGAGGGGACAGATTGCCAGTTTTCACCGTACAGGCAGCTCCAGCAACCTCTCCCTTTCCTGTTGGCAAGCTTTTGCCAGGAAGAACTGTGCTGTGGAACAAGAGGGGAAGAGGGCTTGTCCATCCCTGCAAGACATTCCCTGCTGGTTGGACTTGTAAGGTTCCTTGGGCTCTTCGGCTCCTGGGTGCTCTCTCCTTATGCAAATACATACGATTGAAGCCAAAGTCAACAGAGCCCTTCGCCACAGTTTTAAACTGAAGCAAGGCTGTGGTTTTAAACAGAACAGTTCAACCCATCAACAGGAGGGGAATGGAGTAACAGAAGTTCAGCTGCTCCATTGCCACAGCACCCTGAGCAAAATGGGACCCAAACCACATGGGTCAGGCACAACAATTTAGGGAGACATCCTGAGCCTCGAGCAGAGCTCTCGCGCATCCTAGCCTTGCGTTTCCTCCCATGAGGGAAAGGCATCCCAAATTCTGCAAAACTTAACAAAGCCAGGTAACCCTCGCACTCACCCCTGCACTCAGACCAAGCACAATAAAGACTCAGAGGCTCCCTGTGAGGCCACGGGCATGCCTGGGATGCTTGGAGATCCACAGTACCACATACTTCAGGCTAGGGGAAAGTTAGGACAGCCAACAGGGAAAGCTGCTCTTGCCTTTCAGGAGAGCTGTGATAATTTTAGCCATTATTCCATTTATTCTTACCAGTCACATAGAATAGCAACGTAACCACCTTGACAGCAGTAGGTTATCCTTGACACAGGGTATTTCTATTATGAAAAGAAAAAGAAACATCCTCGTAAGTTAAGACCATCTATGGGCAGAAAATTCACAAATCTGTTTCATGTCTTAGCCTTTAAAAATTTAGCAGATGTCTTAATTTACAGCAAGTTAAGCAACATAATTACCTTTTAACTGCAGTCTAGTGTATTTTTCTACCAGTGTTTGCTGTTTTATGAATTTTTCCATGCTTCTCCCTTCACAGCCATTCAAACAGAGACCAAATATAAAGGTTTTAGTGAACTACTCTTGACAGACAAACTAACAGATGAAAGAAAAGTACACCACCTTCAAACATTCTCTCCTGCAATGCTAATGGCAAAAGCATCAACATTAAGCCTGCTCAGCCAGGAGATCGCACTAGCAGCTTTGAGATTATAAACACAAGCCATTAGCTGCTGTTATGTTTGTTAAAAAAAGAAGATAGTGACGCATAGCTAATATCCTTGCTGCATTGCCTCTGTTTTCAACCTGTGTCTGGGTGAAGCCGTACCACCTGCCATGATGCTTAACACAGAACATGTTCTTCAGTACACAGCAAGACCGCCTGAGGCCACCTTCATCATGAAAACAAACACCTCACCACCCAACAACAAAAAAAACCCACACCACACTCCTAATTTAGAAGATACGTAGTCTTATCTGGGAGAGAATCAGAGAAATACTTTTGCTGCACAAACCATACTACTTGAAATATATAACAACTGATTTGAGGCTCCTTGAGTGGGAAATAAGAACTCTGGAGGAGCAGAGAAACTGCAAGAATACACCCTAGGGTGCTTTTTCAAAACTATCTGTTATATAACGTGAAAGATGAAACTGCAAAGGCAAAAGGCTCATATATTTTATAAGCAGCGGTAACATCACCACTTTTGTTTAATATAACCTTCATACTAGAGAAGCAGTGAGTTATTCCCTTTAGGGCAGGGCAAATACATCCTCTTGACACTCTGCTGACAAAATTCAGATGCATCATCAAGTTCTCTCCCCTTTTACCCCCTTTCCAGCCTTCGCCTTTTTCCCTAACATGACACTGGTCACTAAACAGAACCTCTGCTTCACCAGGTTAAGCTGAATTTGGGAGTAACCACAGCATTTTACCCTTTGAGCTACCAGCTGATGTACAGGCATTGCCAGGGTACTTGTTTTGGAATTTTGCACTCAATGTAGGAAAGCAAAACAAGCCGTACAACTTCCAAACATTCAAGTCAGCCAGTTTAATACCAGAAGCTCACTATTTTGTCAACAGTACATGATGCAACTACTAAAAGATAAACCAACCACAGGAATAAAAAGTTAATTGATGTTACAAATATAGCTGAAAACCAGGGTTACACAGCACAGCTCCAGCACATGAGGGAAAAAAATACAATCCATTGTGTGATACAATCTCATGGCAGGGAAGCAAGAACAAGGGTACACACACTTTTCACTCACATACTTGACTACTTGTTTGGTCAGAAGAGGAGCACTTTATAAAAAACATTATCAAAAGGATGATATGTTTCAGAGCTCTTGGGAACAGATGGGACTAATCTTTTGCTACTCTGCAGAAATACTAATTTGTTAGTCCATATTTAGCACCGGGACATAAAAAATGCTTACAGTTCCAAATACTGGGTCAGATGAGTGGGCTGAATCAGAGAAGTTCTTTGCAGCCAATACGTCTAAATGTAGCTACTGCAGTATGGAGCCATTTATATCACAGCTTTAGTGTGGAACTGGCAGCTCCTATTGTAAACCACCAGCAGGCTCTCTAGACATTTAAGGGAACAAGCCAAGATATATATACATTAAAAAAAACCCAAACCTGTGATATTTATTTCTAATAACAAAGCTCTGGCTCTCCACCTGTCTTATAACAAACATGCAGGGCAAATGCAACAACGGGAAGCGCCCACCTACACAGCTGAGTGCTTTGTCAGAGAGACAAAAGGTTCTGTGAACTTGGAGTATGCAGCAGCTCCCCACCACCCTCACTGGGGGAGGGAGGAGGCAGCTTTTTTGATTTGAACTAAGTGTTATTCACAGCTGGACAGAGACAAGAAAATGTATCTTCTTCGCAAGCTCCTTCCTCTCCATGTGTGGGCAAGTTAACAATCAGTAAAGCGAATGCAAGTCCCAGAGTAGTATCTTGTTCAAGGACAAGCCTATAAAATCAGTTAACTTAAAGAAGAGCTACAAGAGCAGTCTGTGATAAACAGATGTTCACTTGATACTCTCTGAACTCATTCAGCATTTATATGACACTGTTATCAGCCTGCCAACACCTTAAAATTAACTTCTGATGTCATTTGTGAGAAGAGGTGACCCTATGAAAAATTAATGTACCGGTGCACTGGGGTAGAGTTGTGCAATTCATGTTATGGACTTTAAACAAGCTTCTGCTGTCAAGAGGATCAGATGAGGTGAAAGCTCCAAAGCAGGAAAAATATTTATATAGCACTACGAAATTAGAGAATTTCTCCCATTCTAGTGGGAAAATGAACTTGAGGATCTGCAACCCATCAGCTGAAACCAATGCTACACTGCTCAAAAACACTCCTACATTCCCAAAACAGACATATATTCATCATCTGTCAAGCAAAATAAGCACACATTTATGTGCCCACAAGTAAGCCCACATTTATGTGCCTGCTATTACTGATGATTCCATTATCATTGTGCTTCAATTTGTGTTTCAAGCTTCAGTGCACTCACGGTGGTTATCAACAGTAAAAACAAAATGCAACACAAGAAGGTAAAACACTTACATCCCCATCTGATCTTTGATCGCCAGAGCCATTTGCAGACAGCGTGCCAGAGTTACAACCTACAAAGTGCTGACTCAAGAGATTGTTCTCCTAAATTCAGACCATAATTGTCACACTATTGTGAAGATGATCTTTGATACACCTGGATGCACAGCATGACTAAATACTACCACCAGATGTCACCTCTGGCATTTCTAGCACTAGGATCCCAGCAAAACACAAGTCTCCTTTTCTCTTTGGCCCTGCCGGCCATCGAGACAGTAATTGTTCGGAAAGAAGTACACACTGGCAGCTGTGAAGCAAGCAACACAGCACAAAGGTGGCAATGCAGCACATTAAGGTTTAAATCTGTCATTGATCTGTCTGTAGTCACTGGGACACTTCCTGATCACTGTTCCAAGTACGTATGAACTCTGGAAGTCAACTGAGTCTTTCTTCTGCAGCCCTCAAGCATTGTGCAAATTTAGTGTCAGCAGAGACAGATTTTAAAAAGCCTGTAAGAGTGGACAGTAAGCAGAATTTCACAGATTCAAGGAACAGGCCAGCCTGAGGCTTCCGAGACCACCATGAGAAGACGCATACAGCAGTGGACAGAAGAACGGCAAAGCACTGCAGGAATATAGTTTATTAACTGTTGTGTTACATTTATTAACCTACAGTTTGTAGGTTTTCCCTTTCTGTCACTGATTACTCACACAGAGTTAAAGAAGCTAAACAGAGACTCCTCAAACAGTCAAAGGGCACCCCAAATTTCTACTGAGAGACTCCATCAGCACAAAGAGTATCCTATGGAAGGGACTTTATCAGGTGTGTTTGGAGACAAGGCAAATTACTAAGCTCCTTTCAAAAGCCTTCAAAAACATTCTAAGAGAGTTGGAGATGATTTTTTAAATCAGTTCCTGCTTGCAGCAAGTGTTTTCCCTCTAACATTTTTTGTTAGTTTATCCACTGGTACATTCAAGGTTTATTATAGAGTTTAGGGGGTTTTTTTTGATAAACTTGTTTGTAAGTAATGGTGTTAGGATTCAGTGTGAGATCAATCACCATTAATTTATATGCAAGCTATCTTACTAAATGCTAAGCCAGTCTAAGCAACACATAGCATTTTTAAAATTAATAAGACAACCCACTTCACAGCTAGTTGCCTACTAGTCCTCAACGACCCAATAAAGATAGAAAGCAAAGTATTTTTAAAAAAAAAATAAATTCTTCCCTCCAAAAGAAATGCCTTGCAAGACTACTGCAGACATGGATTTAATGGCCATCAAACCATGTTGTTTCAACAAAGCACTCTCATTAGCTACTTTTGAACACAAAGATAAAACACTTTGGCTTTGAAACTCCCTGAGCCACTTATTTCCAGAAGGCTATACGTGGTACAGTAATTTTGTAGGTTTGCCTCAATCTTAATTAACCCTTCCTCACTCAAATCCTGCTGCACCCAGACTATAAGAGGATACAACCTAGATGGTACACCTACAGCTAGATGTCACGTAATTTAGTACACCCGTTTTTCTCTTGTGAAGAAAAAAATAAAAGCAATAGCTATTTCAAAGATTTCAAGCGCTAGACACAAGCTGAAATGAGCCAGAGATCTTGAGAATGTGTATGAGAGGTCTCTGGCTCAGGTGTACTTCAAAGTATTCTTTCAAGTTCAGGAGCAGGTTAAAACATCCATATAGATACTACCCGGAATTCCTGCTAACAGAAACTCTAGGCCAAAACCAAGATTTCCAGCATCTAAGCTCTGAATGCTGTGACGCAAGCGGCTGCCTTCCTGGGCTTACGCGGACACACGAAGTTGCACATTGTGACTCCAACACAAAGAATAACTTCTTGCTGACATCTTCTGCACAGGAAAAACCCTTGAGTTGTCAGATTTGTCTCTAGGAGCTTGGTGCTTCCAGGGGTTGTGCTCCCAGTTCAGTAATTGGGAATCCCACTAACAGGATCAGGCCAGACCTACATGGACAACAAAGCATCTCTGAAAGATCCCCAAGAAGGGCTTCCGACTGCTGGGAGTGGCCGAGCACACCACACTTCAACTAACCAAAACCACAACAAAACACAAGGGAGGAAAGACAGAACTTTTCAATTCCATTTCAGCCTGGACAGAAATTCCGCAGTGGATTTGCCTCAGAAGCCACGCATGGCTACAAGCTTCCCAGTCACCTAACAACTGGGAGACGGCTGTAGTCTTAGAAAAAGAAGTGTTTTTAGAGATTCACATGAAAAACACACCCAGCAGGATGGATGGCAAGATGAACAACTCTTAAATGACCCAACAGATTAGCAACTGGCTTAATATGATGTACACAGCAGGGACAAGAACGAGTGCTGTTTCACTGCTAATAGGTCGTATGCTAACTGACGTGACAAAAAAAAAGAACAAAACCAGAGATCAAGTACTACCAGAACCACTGCTCACATCAGATTAGCACCCCAAATCACAGCAGCACCCCAAAGGCGTACATACGACACCACTGATGTACAGGCTGCCAGCTCAGGAGATCTCCTGGGGCATTCAGTTCTCACGCAGGACTCGTACACTTTAATTTTGGACACCAACCAGCTTCAGAACAACCCAAAAGAACAAGCCCAGCGTTTTGACTCCACAGAGCAGTACCATTGCAGGTGACTGATTACAAATGTTACAAAGCTGCTTTTTGCTCAGATAATTGTAACATTGACACTTGAAATTCTAAGTGTTCTTAAAAATGGGTGAATTTTTACATCTTTCTTGTGTTACAAGGTATTTTCTGGCTAAGAGACTAAGGCACCTGTGTTTTTGGAAAAATTTTCAAGTGAAGGGTTTGCCCACTGTACAAAGAACTTATATTTGGGAAGAATTACAGCTTCTTTTGGTCACTGCTTGGCACTTTTTAGAAATGCAAATAAGACACAGGAATGGATTTCAGTGACTTTCTTCCATTCCTGAAATCCCAGGCTATTGTAACAGTTTCTAGGTCTCACATAACTTCCAAACCCGCCAATAGAAGGGAGGCAGTCCTAACAAAATGCAACAAATGTGTTTGGGAGTCACAAGGATCAGGACGATAACAAAAGCACTAACACACATGGGCATACCTGGTCAGTTTTGGTTGTCTCAGGCCCACAGATGCTACTTAGATGACAGCAGTACACTTCTTCCCCGCTTTTGTACTCCCAAAGTCTCAGAGTCGAGTCCTGGACAGATGGAAGTGGACACAAGTCTATTACTAACAGCGCCTCAGGCTAAGAGAGGTCACTCGCGGCCTTCAGCTAAATCCTATTTCCCCGAAGAGCTTCCCACAGAAGCTGCTGAATAGTCACTTAGTTAAGACCTCAAATTGCAGATAAAACATTTTAATTAACATAATTTTTCCCTCCACTTTAAATTATTCAATCATGCTAACTTGATTCTCCTTTTGAAGTGGAAATTGGGTAGCTGGAGGACTGCATTTCAAGTCTGCCTCAAACAGCACAGCAACACACGTGCTCAGCATTTTAATGGCAATTCTTTCAGGTAGCCCTTCTCTGCTCCTAGTCTTGTTATCACCCAAATTCTCATTTGATTTAGTAACCTCCTGGAGAGAAGCTAAACACCTCTCTGGAAAAACAGAGCCATCAAAGAACATTTGCTAAGAATGAAACACAGGCATACACAGCACTAATGCTAGAGTTGCTTAAAGAATTAGAGGAACGAGGGACAACAGCCTTAGAGAAGCAAAAGTAGCAGCTGAAACCAAATGCTAAGAATTACTATGATCTTCACAGAAAACATTAACTCGTTTCCTATGCAGTTTTGGTAGTCTCGGAAACAAAGACTGTTGTTTCTCATCTTTTAGGCCAACTGCATCTACCCACTCTGTACAGGTCTGGCATGACAAGAAGATGCCATCAATTTAAGACAAGGGCTGGGGGCAGGGAAAGGAGGGACCACTCACTTCTTCAGTCCTCACCCAAGCATTGTGTAGCACCGCACTGCAGTCCCTACACAACACGTGCTGGATGTACTATGCGGACATACAGACAAGCACGTAGTTCAGAACAAGTCTCACAGGAGAAAGCAAGTGGGAGGGTGCAGAGGGAATAATTTTCTCATCTCAGAAGCTCTAAAAAAGTCTGATTCTAAGGCCATTTATTCTGAAGACACTCATTATTGTGGCAGGCTGGCATAATACCCATTTGCTTCAAAGCTGTTTAATAGTCCAATGATTAAAGTTTGTCTGCGCTCCAAAGCAGGAGTTAATGATGAAGAAATACTGAGGACGTGGCGATTTCTCCATCCCAATAAGAAGCCAGCCTTGCTATAAACACAGCAAACAGCTCTTATATGACCCAGCAATAGAATGGCCGAACACTGAACAGAAAGCTGAGAAAGCAGGGAAAAGAGGGAGAGCGAGGGCATGCTGTCAACCATGAGAGATTATTCCAAGCATCTCAAGGAACTTGGGGGAAACACAAGCAAACAACAGTTTTAAGGTCTAAATTTTCAAGAAAAACACTTCTAAAAAGAAACGGCAATACATACCCCAGAAGCTGATAACAGCAGATCAGGATAGTTGGGTATTACAAGTATTTTGCTTACAAACCTAAAGGGAAAGCAGTCAAAAGTTGAACTCTTGCATGACACCCTGGTCTTTAAACACACACAGAAAGAGAAAATATCAATTTTAAAGAGAACCTTATAATAAACAAACAAACAAACCGATTCTCAACATCAAGGTAATTAGGAGGAAGAAAAAAAATAGGTCCACAGAACTTAATACAGTATATGTACTATGCAAACTACTGACTTTCTACTTAATACAAAAAAAAAAAAAATATTTCCCATCAGCTCTGAAGGAATTCTACTAACTTTCTCCTGAGAACATTGCCATTTAGACCAAAAAAATGCCAATGGAGACATGTTTACTCGGGTGGCATGTTCCCCTCTCTCAATTCATGATGCACCTTAAAAATCTGACTCAACAGATGCTTTTAAAACACAACAGTGATCATCTGGCTTTCAGAGCACCAGATCTCTCCCATCACAGCTGGAGATCATTCAAAAGCAATCTTTACAAAATTTAAAAACAAGCATACGGCAATTTACCACCAGTGTCAACATTCAGCCAGAAACCTTGTTTTTCAGAAGCATGTGATACTGCTCTGTCTACCATGACTTGTCTTTGCTGAGGAATGAGGACCTGGACTTGTGGAGTTCATTATCATCTTAGAGCTCAGCAACTTAAAGCATAGTGACCTGAACAGAACATTACTGAGTGGGAGAGTCTTGCTTTTGAAAACAGGTATTTTAAGGTCATTAAAAACAGAAGAGAAAAAAAAAAATATAAGGAAAACATTTGGTCGCTGTAATACAAACTTCCATGACAAAGCAGTAATGGCAGGTGCATGCAGGCATAATAGATCCAACAAGAATCTCCACGCACCCAGTTGAAAGAAAATAATCCAGGAACATGAAACAAGACAATTATAGCTGCTTTATGTAATCCTTTGCTTACTCATTCCTAATTTAAATACTGAATTTTTAAATATATTTCAATCAACTTACACTAAGTGCCTTTCCACTCTGCAGCCACTAATGAACTATTTGTGCAGACACAACAGCCCCTGTTTAAACGTGTCCTTCTGACCATCAAGTTCATTCATTAGAAAGTACAACTGTGTACACAGTAGGTGGAAACATCAAACATGGCTCTGTAAATATGCTATAGAAACTGACCTGATGAAAGACTACTTAGCTCTTTAACATGAGTAGTCTTCCTTTTATACTGTGCCAATTTGACACAGGTTAGACTACCCAATGATGTTATTAAAATCAGACTGACACACCAAATTAATCTGTGTCCTAAACGTTCTACTAAACCACAGTGGTAGGCAGATTTAGACAGGTTGCTACCTCTATTTCAAGTTCCCCAGCCACACTGTGTTTAACTCCTGTTTCTGATACAGCGAGTTGATCGCACCATATTGCATCACCTTATGGAATAATGTGCCTGGAAGGGTGTCGTTATCCCCAACAGAGTGGCCAGACAAACAGAATTACACACGCTCTCCAACCTACACAGGGTCACATCTTCTCTGCTACCTTGTCACTGTAGAGTTTAGCAGTGGCCACGCAAAAAACCCCAACTTGCACAACCCCCCTACCCTGCTCAAAAACCCCGACAACAAAAAACCTCCAAAAGCCCACAAAACCACCCAGAGGTTGAAGGCAAAGTCAAGAGACTTTGAAAATACCACAACTGATCAACATTTCAGGCAGCAAAAGGTAGAGGGAAAAGTCTTTTAAAAGTCTATTTGCCATTTCAGTCTTCTTCATGGGAAAAGGACTACTGAGAAGAAAAGGGGAAGAACAGTCGCTGCTGTAGGCCGAAAAGGAAGTCCTGATAAACTGGGTAGATGACAACCCCTACCCCTATACCAAAAGAACCCCTGGTCTCCTAGAAAGTCAGAGCACATCTGAGTCACGTCAGTATAGCTAGCACACTGTTTTGCTGCCTTCCACTCTTCAGCTCGCTATAATCAGAGGGACCTTCACTTCAGGATGGGGAACGGGAAAAAGGGAACGGGAAAAAGGGAACGGGAAAAAGGGAACGGGAAAAAGGGAACGGGAAAAAGGGAACGGGAAAAAGGTCATCCTTCTTGTTTGTATGCAGAGTGAACCCTGCATTTTACTAGATTAAGTAGCACAGCAGCGTATCACCTTTCTACAGGTATATCCCCTACGATCCACCTTCTGCAGATCCCTCTACTTGCCTAAGTGTTCTCACCCATAGCAACAGAACCAATCTCAAGAAAAACAGCAAGTCCCTTTTCTCAGCTACTAGAAAGGCCAGGTAACTACATTAGGAAGCACAATTCCTTGAATCTATTTTACCGGACCTTTTTACACCTCCTAGCTCACTTTAGCCTTATATCCAGGCAAAAAGAGTGCTCTATCCTTCCTACTGATACAGCTGGAGTTTTTTGTATTACCACAGAACCCTTCTCAGCTACTAGAAAGGCCAGGTAACTACATCAAGAAGTGCAATTCCTTGAATCTATTTTATGGGACCTTTTTACAGCTCCTAGCTCACTTTAGCCTTATGTCCAGGCAGAAAGAGTGCTCTATCCTTCCTACTGATACGGCTGGGGTTTTTTTGTATTACCACAGAACCTCCAAGTTTGAGCTCTGCATTGAGATGCCATTAGATCAGCGTCTCTTCAAACCACATAGAGTTCCTAAGACTTCCCTTCCTAAGACTAAGGTAGGCTCTATCCTGAACTAACAATCTCCAGGCTGCAAAGCCTCTTGTGGCCAGCAGGTCAAGGGAGCTGATTCTCCCCCTCTACTCTGCTCTGATGAGACCCCACCCGCAGTGCTGTGTTCAGCTCCGGAGTCCTCAGCACAAGAAAGACATGGACCTGTTGGAGCGAGTCCAGAGGAGGGCCACAAAGATGGTCAGAGGACTGGAGCACCTCTCCTATGAAGACCAGGCTGAGAGAGTTGGGGTTGCTCAGCCTGGAGAAGAGAAAGCTCCAGGAAGACCTTATAGCGGCGCTTCAATACTGAAAGGGGGCTTATAAGAAAGATGGAGATAGACTTTTTAGCAGGGCCTGTCACAACAGGACAAGGGGTAATGGTTTTAAACTAAAAGAGGGCAGATTTAGACTGGATATAAGGAAGAAGTTTTTTATGACGAGGGCGGTGAAGCACTGGAACAGGCTGCCCAGAGAGGTGGTAGATGCCCCATCCCTGGAAACATTCCAGGTCAGGTTGGACGGGGCTCTGAGCAACCTGATCCAGCTAAAGGTGTCCCTGCTCACTGCAGGGGGGTTGGACTAGATGGCCTTTAAAGGTGCCTTCCAGCCCAATCCATTCTGTGAATCCAACACAGACCTAGCTGTTGTTTAAAAGGATTTGAGGAGACAAATCGCTTCATCCACTGAGGCACAGTGAAGAGCTGCACACAGTAACTTTTGCACACAACAAACTTACTCTTTATGTCCCAGACAGTAGGATTCAATACTATAAGGAGCCTTTGCCAAGCTGACTCTGATCTTCTCATCTCTGTCTGCAGTTAGGATATACTGGTCATCAGGACTCAGTGCCTGTTGGTAAAGGCAGAGTTTTAGTGCCCAGTAGTTCAACATTTGTTCTAACATAATTGTTCCCAACCAGGAGAAAAAAAGATAAGCAGTAAACCATCTGTTTCTCCTGACTCTGAATGGCAGGTGCAACCATTAAGTCATGCTCTTCCACCAACAATGGAAGCATAAATATTTATGACAGTAACTTTCTTGCTTACTAAGACAAGTAACACTGACTACCGGGTCCAGTGAAAGCCACTGAGCTCCAATGGTACAGGCAGAAGTCTCACTGCATCTTAAAAAGAAAGAAACTTATCACATGGAAGAGCAAAACTGACATGACAGGCCGGGTGAACTCCCATATACATTCTATCACCAAGTCTTCCATGAGTGTAACACGAAGCCTTTTTGAATACTCACACTCCCAAAACAGATAACCCTTTGGTAAGCTTGGTTCCTTACCAAACTCTGCAGATCCAAGCTCAGTAGGAAGAAATCCAGACCATGTACCGCATTTATATTAAAAAAAAACAACCAAACAAAACAAACAACTTGCAGATCTGGGACAAGAGCAACAACGAAAGACCCAAACACAAGCAGGAATGCAGGTTTGTACACCAACTACACAGAGGCACACACTTACCACATCCAATAGCAGAGACAAGTGACCCAGCTCAAATTTTCCCTCTGCTTGAGGTTCAGTTATTGAGTAAGAATAGACATCACCAGACTTGTCTGCAACCAGAATCTTATCCTCTGCAGCTGTAATAACCAGGGACGTGCATCTCCTGTTCACGGACCTGAAACAAAAATGGCACAGTTTGAACAGCTCTAGATGGCAGATTCAGCAAGTCCGGATTCAGACCAGTTAAATAGACCAAGAGACTGGACAAAAAACTCTCAGATGCAACATTCTTGAAATGGCAGCAACGAGAATAATGTTAAGGCAGGGCACTGGGCTGAAATAGCACTTTTGAGATCTATTAAATGGCCAAACTATGTAATAGCAAACACCTGGGGGGTGGGAGATTAAAAAGGAGAAACCATTAAAACTGCATGCCCATGTTTTGCTTAGGTACTTTCTCAACCAAGCATGTTGCCTAGGTAGCCTCCCAGTACTCTAAAGAAAGCTGGTTGACTTTCTTGTACTCTCCATAATTAAAAAAAACAAAACAAAACAAAACAAAAACCCAACCCAACAAATTAAACATGTAGAGAAGAGAACACAAGGTAGGAGTTCTCCTGGTAAAAGTCCTTTGCAGCAACACATCCAAAAACTGTGTTGAAACTACTTCTGCAGTTGCCACTTCATGCCGTAAAACAAAGCCCTTCCTTGTGAGCCTCAAGGACTCTTCCTCCTCGCACCTAGTCTCAGAACGCCGCAATCTCAGGGTACCTTGTCCAGGCAAAACCCTGGACTTGAAGTCTGACTTTTCCTCATCATCTGCCAGTATCTTACAGTTCCAGCTGCCAGCGTAGCAGGTAACGTTTTTCTTACAACTTTTCAGATAAATCTAAGGACCATATATGTCAGAAAGCTCATTTTAAAATAGGTTTAATCACTTAGACTGGAGAATGCTTCTGCAACTTAACAGCTATTGTTATTACTGTTACTCTCTTCTTTTCCTAACACCTCTTTTCCAAACCCTTCTATGTCCTTTGTGTTAGCATAGGACAGTGGACACCAGGGTTCATGGGGAATGGACATTTCTATTCACCTACTCTGAAATCTGGTGACCATCTGCAGGAAAAAGAACAATACACTGTACTTCAGGTAGGAAGACAGATACTCTAATACTGTTTAGTCACTGTTTAAAGGAACACCGTAACAATGGGAAAATATATAGAATAGCCTGCTAATACACGGCAGGCTCAGGCAGCACAGTTTCAAAATAGGTTACCTTGCCAACAAGAAAAGTCTTGCTCCAAGTTCACTGTACTTCCTTTGATGTTAAACACAAAGATTTTCAAGTTGCCCTTGACTGAAATGAGCCGACTACAAAAGGCAGCACCATGTGAAACCATTTATACATCTTACCACAAAACACCAATGCAAGTTACACAGCTCAACTTTGGTATTTTTTTTTTCATGTAGAGGCCCTTTTGCCAGTATTCCCAGTTTCCTAATAGGAGGTAGCTAGGTTCCCAAAAAATAGCTGTGGTCCTAGCTAATCTTTTAGCGGAAAACAAACATCAAACAATTATCCAATGGCATATTACAGGCGAGACATACAGGGCAGGGCAGCAGGGAAGACAGAACACAGAATGAACAGAATTTGCCGTTTCTGGTTTTGCCAGTGATTACTGCCTCACTACAGCCTTTGGTTAATTCACCAAAGGTCCATCATGTTCCCTACGCACACAGCCAAGCTGACAAAGAGTCCATTTTGTTTTGCAGTCAGGGCCTCGCATTTGTCAGAGACCACCAGAAGCAGAGACGTCACATGCCGAGGTGCTTTCTCAGGAAGTCCTTCATGGTCCTCTTTTTCACAGACAATTGCCACAAGCAGCAGCAGAAAACTTGTAACTGGAGGACCTCTGGTGGACAGCTACAGACTGTTTTCTCAAGAAGACTATACTACAGAAGGGAAAAAGTTGGCAGCATTTCTAAAGATGTGCTTTTAAGAGAGTTCACAAACTCCCCAAAACATCTTCTCCTCCAAATCAACAGAAATGGACAACGCACTGCTCAGTATCGCTCTTACAAGCCTAACCTTTGTGTTCGTTAGGAGTGGGTAAAGTTTCAGTTCTTAAAGATGCAAATACTGTCTCTTGGAATAAAAACAGAGATTATCCTTTCCTTGGCCAATGATATAAACATCTGTGCTCTCATTCTTGGTGTGGGGCATGTCACGCATCACTTCTTGACAAATATTTTTGAATTCCCAAGAACTGTTTGAGCAAGTACAAGGAAAAAAAAAAAGGAAGCTTAGGGATAACAAATGGCAACAACCCAAGTACCACTATTTTATAACTCTAAATTAATCAGCCATAATTCCATAACAAAGTGACATGCAATATCCCGCTTCCTTACCTGACGCTAACACATTCCCAGGAAGGCTTCGTATGGAACAGAATCAGACGTTTGCTGTCATCTGTCAAGACAAAATAATCTCCTGACGGGGAGAAGGCAAAAGCTAGGATGTCATCACTTCCTTTATCTGTTGGTTTTCCATCCTGCCTAATAGAAAGAAGGGGAAGAACAATTCACGACCTGAAAGTTACTGAAATCCTTAAGAAGGTTGTTCTCACACCACAAAGAAGAAGCATGAAGAACAAAAGCACAACTCTAAAAGTTTTATTTGTGCTTAAAATGTTTAGCCAACTTGAAAATTAATTAAAAGAAAAACAACAAGGAAAAGGAAGCTGATACAAGATCTAAGCCTGTATCATTACCTGCTTAAAAAAAACCCACAACAAAACACTAGGGTTTATGCTGGCAGGTCTTGGGGAAAACAACAGAATTGGCTACAGGTAAAACAATGTCCAGTGGCTGAATTTAAACTAAGAAAAAGATGTTTGGGGATTTTGAAATCTCATGACTTAAGAGAATAGACCTGAACGATGAGTTACGTAACTGGTTCGTGGTGGGTTTTTTTCTAACTTAGACGGTCTAACAAAAAATGCAGCATTTTTCCATAAATGTCTTAACCAAGAAGAGTCATGCAGAATCACTGATTATACTACTGGTGTTTGTCTAAAAAAGAAAAAAGGTGTACAGTCTCCCCTTTAGTATGAAACAGAAACAAACAAACAAAATACATATGTATATATCCATTAGGGTTAGCAAAAACAACCCAGCTGTCACCTGATGAGGGAATCACCCCTTGACTTTCTTTTACTATCTTCACATAACCTGAGGAGATGCACCCTCCAGGAGAACAGCACATTGACCAAGCAGATTTTCTCACCCTTTATTTCCTAAGGTCTTCTTCCCCGCATTCATACAATCGTACACGAAGAGGCTATCATCACTGCAAATAAAAAACAACAGACTAAAACCACTGGAACAACCACAAGCTTAACTATGAAGACTGTTGTACGCTGCTGTGGTGGTATGCACTGTAACATGCTGTTACTTCGCAGCTACCTCCGCAGCTGACCCCTACCTCGAGGAACCACTCCTGTGAAACGGGCTCCCGAAGTGCCACCAATGCACTAGAAGCCTAAAACCTTGGACAGCACACACACCTCAAAAAAGATGAGGTTGTCGCCTGCTGGCAAAGTAACCGCGGTATTTTGCCAGGCTTGACGTATTTTAGCACAAATGCTTTAGCATTTACCCCGATGTTCGCATACTACTGACGCACATATCATGGTTTATAACCGTGCCAGAAAACACTTAAGACCAAAAAAAAGCTTTGAAGCGACATTCAGTAACGAAAAACGCAAACAAGGAGCCCCTGAAGGCCGCCGCTGCGCCACGCAGAG